GAATTCCAGCTGTCTGGAAAGGGATGTAAATTAGACCACCTGCAACAAAAACATGATAGGAAATGAATACTGATTCCACAGTCTAAGAGTCACCAAAGCTACTGCAACCCATTATTTTGTTGGTAAACTTGGGGTTTAAAAAAAAAGTGGAAAATCCGCCTCTTCCCACAAAATCCACATTGTGCCTTCCATCCTTCTTCAAAATGCAAACTTTAGTCATTTCTCAACTGAGGAAACTAGGCGCCACAAGCCCATTGTCAGCCAGAAGCCAGAACCAGCCTTATCTAAAAGCTGCAAAACAGGCAGGCACCGCTGGTCAAGCTTCAAGGATCAAGCTGTAAACAAATCTTATGGGCGGAAGGACCACCCTTAGGGCCCGATACCAGTAATCCCATTTCCCCTTAGCCCCGACCCTTACCCCATATCTCTGTGTGTTTTCGATACCAGTAATCCCACTTCCCCTCAGCCCCGACCCTTACCCCATATCCTTGTGTATTTTTGAAATTACTCTGTGTTTTTGAATTAACGAATAACCGCTCTCCTGCTTCTGTACCCTGCTTCTGCCCTATAAAAACTGCCAAACTCCAACCTGGGGCGCGCAAGTCCTCCGAGGAGACTCTGTGCCCACAGGTACCTGTGCATCAAATAAACCTCTTGCTGTTGCAACCCGAAAGGCTGACTTGTCCTCAGTGGTCTCACTCTTACAATATAACCCTAGCCAGTCTGGAACTGATAGAGATCTGCCTCCCAAGAACAGCAAATGCTCTCAACCCCTGAGCCACCTGTCCAGACCCTGTTTGTTTTTTGATACAGTGTCTCCCTGAAGCCCCAGCTGGCCTGGAACTCATTACGTAGACCAGGCTGGCCTCAATCTCAGAGATTTGTTTGCCTCTGCCTCCCAACTGCTGGGATTAAAGGTGTGCAACACTATGCCTGGCTTCCTTTTTAAAAAAAAAATCTTTTGTTTCTCTGTCTCTCTCTGTCTCTCTGTCTCTGTGTGTGTGTGTGTGTGTGTGTGTGTGTGTGTGTGTGTGTATGGGCATGTGCAGATGGAAGTCAGAGGACAACTTGCAGGAGTCAGTTCTCTCCTATCATGTGGATTCTGGTGATCAAATTCAGGTTGTCATGCTCAGCAGCAAGCACCTTTACCTACTGAGTCATCTCACCAACCCTAATAGTCCCATTTTTATGTGTGGAAACCAAAGCTCAGAGATGGAAAGTGATTTACTGCTGAGTGTCACACATTTAGTGGACGTGATGTTGGATAGCACTCTGGCCTTCCAATCTCCAGTTCTCAGCCACTGGGTCCTGCCTGCCTCCCATTTCAGGTACTCCCAGCCAATAACTGGTCCCAAGGATCCACCCACTCCTGGGTCTCAGAATCTGTTTGTTTTGTTTGATAAGGTCTTATGTAGCCCAAGCTGGCCTTGAACTTGATAGGTAGCCAAGGATGACCTTGAACTTCTGATTCTTCACCCCCACCTCTTGAGTGCTAAGACTACAGATGTGTTCCACCATATTTAGTTTATGTGGTACTGGGAATGAAACTAGGGTTTTGTGCATCTAGGCAACTACTTTACCAACTGAGCTACATTCTCAGCCCTACAACCTCTTAATCCTTTAGTCTTTGTCCCATGTCCAGCCCCTGACACTTACCAAGCAGATCAGCAGCCTTCTGGTGAAGCTCCTGGGATTCCTGATAGTTGCCAAGGATGTTGTGGGTCATTCCGAGGTTTCTTAGCACTGTTGTCTGCTCTCCTGGCCCTTGACACAGAGGCAGGGCCTGCAGGAAGGTCTCTACTGCCAGAGGGAACAGTTGAAACTGGAAGTAGCCCAGACCTAGGTCATTGTAGAGTGGCTCTAGAGAGCACAGCCAGGGTCACTGGTAGCCAGCTTAGCCATAACTAAGGCAGTACAGGTACAGCCCTGACCCATTCCTACAAGTATAGTCCCTTTCCTGCAGGTGTAGTCCCTTCCCAGCTCTCAAGCACCACCAGGTTCAGGCTCAGCACTTCCTTATCCCACACCCTATGCAAGGCGTCACCCAGCAGTCTCCACTCAGTTCTCCTGTCAGCAAGCTTTCCACTCTCCTCCAGCGCCTGCAGCACATCACTCAGCCTGTGGTACCCACTGTTCAGCATACATCCTGCCACAGCCCCCAGGGCTAGGGCTGCATCCCAGAGCTGGCCTGCATAAGCATAGGCTTGGCTTGCTTCCTGTAAGCAGCAGGCTGCTTGGTTAAGCCATCCCAGGGCCTGGTAGCAGGCTCCCATTTTTGCCTGGGCTTCCCCATGGTCACCCTGTGGCTGGTAATGGCCCAGAGCCTTGTGGTACCAGTCCAAAGCTTGAGGCAGGTCACCAAGAGCACAATAGGCCAAAGCCACATTGAAACACTGGTCACCATGACACTGGCCCTGGGGCTTCTCTTCAAGATGGACTCGTAAAAGCAGCTCAAGACCTCTGGCTGGGTCCCCAGTTTCCTCATAGGCAGCCCCTAGGTTGCAGGCACAGGTGCAAAGTACAGAGCTGTCTCTGGTTAGTGGATCCTCAGAGGTTAGCAAAAAGGCCTTCCTTCTGGAAGCTAGTCAAGGCCTCATGGGTCCTACCAGCCTGCAGGGCCATGTGGCCAGCCCTGGTGAGGGTTTGAATGTTGGCTTCTTGCTGAAGGCACTTTCTTTTCTTCTTTTTCTTCCTGCAGTCTGAGGGTTTGAGCACAGGCTCAGGCTTCAGAGCGCTGTCCAAAGGGCTAGGGGAAGACCCAGGGCTGACAGCAGAGAACAGAGAGGTCATCATGTCAGCCTTGGCTTCCTCAGGATCCCTTGAGGGCAATTCAACTCTACCCCTGTCCATATGGGAGCCTCAGAGCCTCAAGGATTGCTCTCTGAGCTCTCACCTTTCTTCCTGTGTCCCACTGGGTAGCATTTCCACTCTCATGCTAAGGTCCTTATGGAAAATTCCCTTCCATAAATTCCATCGCCAGCACCACAAAAAACAAAACAAACAAAAAAGCCCCTGTGAAATTTTGTGATCTCAAAATATCTTCTGTCTATGCCTTTATTTACTTATTTATTATTTATTTATTTTTCCATTGCTGGAGATTGAAACTTGCATACGCGGCAAGCACTCTACCACAGTGCCATATCCCCAAATGTCCATGTCTTTTATTGCAATTATCACATGAAGTTAGAGATGTTGATTTGCTTGTCTTCCACTAGACTGGGAGCAACTTGAAGGCACATTAGTCTTCAATAAGTTTGCTAAAGGAGATGAAAATATCCTGAAGATGGCTGGTGGGTGATGGCTATGCAATGTGAAGTGTATTTAATGTTACTGAATTGGATCCCTGAAAATAGTCAAAACAGGTTGTAGAGTGCTTATCTAGTATTCTTTTTAAAAAATATCTAATTTTTATTAATGTATATTAATTGCCTGCATGTATGTAAGTGCACCCATGTTGTGCAACGCCCTCAGAGATCAGAAAAGGGTGTCAAATCCCCTGGAACTGGAGTTATGAATAGTTGTTAGCTGCCAAGTGGGTACTGGGAATTGAACCTGTGTTCTCTGCAAAAGCATTTAGTGCTCTTAACCTCTGAGCCATCACTTCAGCCCCATAAATGATTATTATTAATAAAAATAAATTTTTATTTTTATGAATGTTTTGCCTTCATGATGTATGTGTAACACATGCAGAGGCCAGAAGAGGGTGATGAATCTCCTGTAACTGGAGTTATGGATGGTTGTTAGGCACCATGTGGGAGCTGGGAACTGAACCTGGGTCTTCTGCAAGAACAGTCAGTGCTCTTAACCACTGAGCCATCTCTCCATCCCCTTATTTTTAATTATTTATATGTGTATGCCTGCTGTAGGAACGTGCATATGAGTGCAGGTACCCAAGGAGGCCAGAAGAGGCCATCAGTTTCCCTGGACCCACAAAAAATTGCTGGGCCACCTCTCCAGTACCCTTGCCTAATATTGTTGAGGCCCTAGGTTTGATCCCACCTTTATTAACTAAAAAAAAAAAAAAAAAAGCGGGGGGGAAGTAGACTGGAGAAGACTGGACATAGTGGCACTCAGCTTTAATCCAGCACTCTAGAGGCAGAGGCAGGAGGAAGATCCTGTGTGTTCAAGGCCAGCCTGTTCTATACAAGTTTCAGGCCAGCCAGGGCTTGGGAGTGGGGGCGAGGAAGTTAAAATGGCAAGTTTTATTTACTTTATAGTAATTTATATTATTAACTATTAATTATGCCAATTGTATGTTTATAATTAATATGTAGTTAATAATTAATATGTAATAATTATTAATTAATTCATATTATTTATATTAAGAACAAAGTCAGGACAGCAAGATGGTTCAGCAGGTAAAAGCACTTGCTGCCAAGCCTGATCCCAGTGACCTGAGTTTGATTCCCAGTATACACATGGTGGAAGGGGAAAACTGACTCCCACAAGTTGTCTCTGACCCCCACAAGTATGCCCTATACACACACATATGCCGTATACACACATGCACACACACAAAATAAAAAAATGTGATTTAAAAAAATTTTTAAATATTAAGAACAGAGGGGCATGGTGGTACATGGCTTTAATCCCAGCATTCAGGAAGTAGAGCCAGGCAGAGTTCTGGAGGTTCCAGGCCAGCCTGGTCTACATAGAGAGTTCCAGGCCAGCCAGGGCTACATAGTGACGCATACCCTATGCATCATACAAACAAACACATGCAGGTAATACATTCATACACATAAAATTAAAATAATAAGACATTTTTAAAAGATTTAAAAAATAAAAAATATAATGCAAACGCACACACAAACCCCAAACAGCAACAAAAATTAAGAATAGCATACACAGGGCTGACCCATCACCTCTTTTACATGCCATCTCTGGGTACTGGCCCACCCGTGATTTATGTGCTCCTGCTCTGCTTCAGGAGCCAAACTAGCACTGGGGACCCAAGCTGAACAAGATACTGAATTAGGAGCCAGTGTCCAGAGGGGCTCTGTCTGCATTTACTATCCCCTTCCTACCTCTGGGGTACTTCCCCCACATCCCCCCAGCTTTCTGTCTGCTGGTTGGTTCCAATCCCCCAAAATTATGCTCTGGGGCCAGAATATATTCTTCTCATCTGTTTCCTGTTGATGTCTCTCCCCTGACCCACTCTCCTCTCAGGAAACAGTAAAAAGAGCAGAAAAGATCCAGACATTGGACTCTGGCTACCTGTTGTCTTTCTTTTTCTTCTTCTTTTTTAGTTCAGATAGGCAGGTAAAACAGATGCATTCTCAAAGAAATTTTCTCCAGGACTAGGGGTTTAGCTCAGTAATATAAAGCTTTCATGAGGCCCTGGGTTTATCCTCAGTACAAAAAGAGGGGGGGGGGAGAGAGAGAGAGAGAGAGAGAGAGAGAGAGAGAGAGAGAGAGAGAGAGAATGAAAAAGGGAAGAGTTGATTCTAGAAACACCTGAAATCCCAACTTTCCAGAGTTCCAACCCTGAGGCATTTCCAGCTGCCTCCCACCCCAGTCTTTAGGGCCCCAATGCAGGTTGCCTTACCTCTGTGCTTTTCTTCACAGATAGCTTTCTGGAATGGTTTCTCCAACTTGAATTACTTCTCCACAGCTTTTGTCTCTGAGCCTCCAGGGTTACCAGACACCTGGGCACCACCCTTCACTCCCAGATTCTTTGAGTGATAGCTGTAGTGGTCTATCTTAGTGCAGAACCCTGATGGCTCTCAGGCACAGACATCTAAGGTCTGTTTTCCTTCCAACACTGTTGCCACCCCACCCCTGCAGATGCATCCCTCAAGTTCCTTACTTCAAGGAATAAATCAAAGCATCATGGGACTGTTAAATCAATGAGATCCTCAAAGATGATTTATTTCATCCCAACTTTTAAATTTTATTTATTGCCGGTGCCAGCCAGCCAAGACGGACAGTACCTGAAAGGGGGAGTGAGGATTGAAAGAAAAAAGACAGAAAAGATACTTGGGAGGACTGTCAGTAGAGACTGCAGCCCTGGTTTATTTTAGCTCCGCCTTTTTATACAGAAGAACATCAGAGATAGCCACAGTTTGCTTAGCTCAATTAGTTTCAACAGCTGTTTTTCCCACCTGTATCTGAGGGTCAAGGAGCGGTCAAATACTTGTTGTGAACTCACCCCCACCAACATCCCCCCTGACTTGGCAGATTAGGTACTGTTGTGCAAAACACAAACTCTAAGTAAACAAGCAAGCCTGCCACAGCTCAATGTACATAATGGATTAATAGCTCCCAACAATTTATTTTTTATTTTGAAATAGGGTCTCCTAATGATCCTCCTTCCTCAGCCTCTTGAGTGCTAGAATTACTGGTATGTGCCACCATACCCTGTTCCATCCCTCCATTTCAAAAAGAGCAGGCTGCTACAGGGTGACTGTAAGCTTTAATGAGACACAGACTGTCTTAGAAGTGAACCTTTACATTCACACTGCATCACATACTGCTCTGTGGCAATTCCTTCTAAAGAAGACATTCCTTCTAGCTCAAGAAGTAAATAACTCAATAGTTTCCCTGAAACTGACCAAATTCACTAGGCTCCTCCTTCCCCAAGCCCTAAGGAGACACTGAGATATGTAGACACACAGAGAGATACTCTGAGACTTACTAGAAAGAACATTCTCAAACCTATTCAGCTGCCTGCAGGTTATGCAGTGTGCTCTGGATTTCCTGATTTCATGAACCCATGCTTGGATAGGCATTTGGTGATGCAGTGGTCTTTGAGCCATTTCTGCTAAATTCTGATAAAACTCATTGGTTCATCAAGTAGACTTTGGTGGTATCCTTTGGTCTGTGGTCGGTTCCCTGTCTGGGTGAATAGATGTTTGTTCATATTGTCCCAGAAAGAGTGTTGTTACAGAGTTCAAGCTCACTGGGAAAAGATCACTCAGACTCAGAAAGTTATGAATCAGCCGAATTTATTTAGCTGACCAGCGACTGCACTCTCTGAGCCAATTTAGAGTGTTACAAAGTTCGGGACCACTGATTAACCTTTTACAATTTTATTTGAATTTTAAAGAAAAATCCTCAGGGCAGGTGAGCTGGTATTCTTGGCAGCTGCATGGAGGAGGAGAATGGAGGGGAGAAGGCATGGAGATCAGACACGTGGCTGGCTGGTAGCCACATGGCTGGGAGAAGGAAGCTTTAGAGAAAGTAAAGAAATACAAGATGTTAGGGGCAGCCCAAAGCCTTAAAGAAAGCATTTAGAAAAGAGATACAGAGAAGAAAACAAAAGATCACACTTCTCTGAATTCAGAAGCGGGCACTCACAAACTACATGGCTGTAGCTGGTCCAGAAGTTCTGCATGGAGTCCTGCACTGAGTTCTGCTCTAGGAGGCTGAATTCCAGACAGGAAGAACTTGATATCTCATTAACACACTAGGTATTCCGCCCATCTGTTTAGCATATCCTGCCTTCCTAAGAGTGGCCCTGTGACCAGATGATTGATCAGTTAAACTTACACAAAATGGAGGGGCTCATGGTATTACAGAGAATGCAGCACTAACTGAGAAGAGACAGAAGTCTTTAAAGGTAAAAAACACAAGACATCTGGCATTTTAGTGAAGCAATTACAAGATGTTAATGTTTTACAAGGTATATGGTTTTTCCTTTGGATAAACATAGTATTTGTGAAACATAAGCTAGTTCCTGTCAAGCAAACAAGCAGATGTACAGAAGCAGCATCTTGAAGGTGCCACCATTGTTTGTGGTCAGCTATCTCTCAGAACCCAGCTTCTAAAGGGGAGGTGAGGGGGCTCCCTGGAATTAGACTTAGTCAAATGTCAATCTTGCCTTATTCAGGGGAACAAAATGGAGAGGC